TGCTGATTGGATTGGACTGGATTTCTCTCTTGGAATTTATTCGAGTCAGCCGCGGTGATTTTTAAACATAAAGACAAACCCTTTATAATAAAGTTAAATTCTTGACCATAACATTAAACTGTAAGTCTTTTATATCCACCTGCAAAGCGCATATTTAAATAAAAAATCCACATGCACGTCAACAATTCACATACAAGAATACGCGCATTCGCTTCAGTGCCAATGATCAATAGAAATTGCGCATCTTATCTGCACTTGAGGTATAGATCAATATCAAATCAAAAAAAGGCTAAAAAAATCCCATAATCAACAGTCAACAATGATAACAGAATTGTATCGAGTTGCAATGGCAAATTTCATATTTGTAATGTACACACACATACACAATATTTATGAAGTACAAATACTAATGTTAGACAGATGGCCATGTTTGCAATAAATACCTTGGCACAATTTCACTTACAAAACTTGCGCTTATGACCAAATAACATTGATGATAAACACAGTCAGCCCATGTGCACTCATCTTCTCGGCGATCTGTGTGCATGTGTGTCAACTCTACGCTTGCAGGCGACAACCGGAAGGCTGCACGTAAGTACACACATACATGGATGCTAACAACAACGGTGTTGTTTACATATATTTATTTGTTGTTTATCTTACTTCCACTTCATGCACATGTACATATGCACATATATATATATGTGTATGTATATTATTTTTGCAATTTAATTTCATTTTCCTTGGTTCATACATATCTGACTACGCCTTAAGATAGGCTACAACGATGGACTGCGTGCCTGTTTATTTGGCCTCTGGCGCTGCATTTATCAATTTGTTTACGTTTTTTCTTGCCGTTGGCGCGTCACAATTGTTCAATTCTCAATTACTAAGCCAAATAAACTGAATGACGTTTTTGTTTTTTTGCTAAAGCAGAGTGTTCGTTTGCATGTGTACAAATGTGTGTGGGGGTAAGTGCATGTATTAGGAAGTAGCCGCGTCGCATACATAACTAATGACCTTTTCCTCAATTGATGCCCAGCAGCAGCAGCAGCAGCAGCAGCAGCAGCATTGCTTAGACATTGGCGTAGTGCCAATGGCTTTTATGCACTGGTACAAGTACTTGATTATACATACATATATTTGTGTGTTTGTGTTGTCGTGTATGGAGCTGCAGCCTAAAAATACATAATCTTGAAAAATAACTCAATTTCACTTGCAGCAAAGTGGCGTAGCGTAAATAAACAAGCGCATCTTCGTACTTTAGCTGTGAGTTGCGAATATACAAAAGGTATGTACTGATGCAAGTGGTGAAAATGGGTCACATGTGTCAATATGTATATATACATATGTGAGTTTGTAAAATTGTTTTCAATTAACTCAATAATTTCATGAATTTCGTTTCATCGTGCTCGTCTAAATCCATTTCACACACCAATTCCTGTGGCTTTGACAGTGCAAAATCATAAGAGTACGAGAAAGTGTGTTTCTTTAAGAGATAAATAGACTCAGAGGGGAGTGTTGATTCCTTAAACATGATTTTCCTAAGCTGCATGTGTGCACAGTATATTGACCAACTAGTTTTTGAAGTAGGAGCTCGGCAGCAATTCGCTCCAACGTTTTCTGAGCGCCAGTTACATACTCCTAAATGAAGATGCTGGCAGGTGTGGAAGTCAAAAATTAGTTGTTTCTTAGGCTTTGATCAAAAACTTAGCTTTATTTTAACGGCCAGGGCTCGCGACTATTTTTGAAAAGTGATTTCGGACAAGTGCTCATCATGGCTGGCTCAAATAAATTTCTAGGGGAAAGACCGAATTTTCGACCACTATTCACAGCAACTGTGACCATACAAGTAAGTCAGCTGGAATTCTCCTAATATTTTCTTCCAAGGCGTCAATGGTTTCGGGTTCATTAGCGTATACAAGCGACTTTACATAACCTTACAAAAAATAATAAAATCCAGCGGTGTTAAATCTTACGGCATTGAAGGTCACGCCACCTGCCCACGACGCTAAATAATGTGCTCACCTTGTTGGAACCAAAGGTCGTCCACAATAACATCCTCAAATTTAGATACGACAAGGTCACTAATCATGGTTTCATTTACCTATTGACCGTAATACATATTCTGTCCATAGGCCACACAGAATCAGTGACTTTTTGTGGATATTAACATTACTGCAAATTATATGCGTTAGCCTGATTAGCAAGGGGAAGGGGGGAAGAATAGAATTTATAAAAAATATTATATATTATCTATACTTTCACTTTTTAGCTGCGAAGGGGCTAAGTTATGAAAGTGTTCAATGGCTCCGTAGTCTATCTGCGGAGATTATAAATATTAAAGACCGTAGGATTTCAAATGACTGAAGGTGAGTAATTTATTGTACCGAGTTGGTCATTAGGTAATACTTGAGGTTGTGAGATTGAGTCTCAAGACTCGAAAGGTCAGGATTCGAGTCCTGGTTCGAGCAATATCCAAAAATTATAAAAAAAAAAATTTTCTAATTGAGTATGCCGCTCGAAAGTGTATTTCGATCCCTCCGCACATCACAGATCCAATGAGGAGCTCAACGGAAAATCCTTTCAGCGGTTACAAAGCGCAAATTATATTATAAATGTATATAATATATATAAGCAGAAGTCTTTGCGGGTAGGAAAAGGCGTCTGAGCTAACCGATATTGCAGGTAACAACATGAAAACTAATAATAAGTAGGCTGATATCCACGCGGGAATCCAAGTAGCAAATTCACCCGTATTGTGTAAAAAATTTCCTTCACAGCATGGAAGCTATATAAATACTTTTTATCGATTACATATCGGTAGTGAAGGATCCATCCAATTTTTGTTCACCCTTTTGTGGAGGGACTGGAGTAGGCTGGAAGGTTAAATTACGGACCCCACTATACAAAAGTCTCACGTTCGTGCAAAATAGGTATTACCCTGCAGGGGAAAACCAACTAGTATGCGAAAATTCTAGTTAAATACTAGTATGTTGAAGATGAAATCAAACCAGTTCGTTATTTGTAAAGGAGTCCACCAGTAAGGGGAGAAATAACAATTTCCATCACTGTTTGTTGTTGTTATATTGGCAAACTGTGGCTGAATTCCATTTTCTGCGCTGTTCTATGGAAGTGTGCAAAATTACATCAATCGTTGCATCGTCATGATAGCCGAGTGGTTAGAGATTATCGCTGTAGGGCGTTAAGCCCACGATTTTGAGTCCCGCTAGAGGCTGATTAATTTTTAAGTTTGTTTTGTTTTAATTTTAGGTGAAACCGAAATTTTTAATTTATATTTTTTTCTATTTTTTGGTGAAACAGAAATTTTCACTTCCACGTCATTCGTATGTTGTTTTTGTTTTTAGTATGACACATAGTATGACATTCCTTAAAACTTCTGTTGAAGTGCGCAGATTTCGTTCCTCCGTGTATTATAACGATAGCCTTGAGGTCTTAACTGTGGTGCGTGAGTTTCTTGGTTCGATTCTCGAAGTCGGCAAACTCAGCTTTGTTTTATTCAAATTTTATTTTGGTGAAGTAGAAATTCAACAAGCCAATATGAACTAGTATTAAGATAGTATGAAGCTGATGCATATTAGGACAATTACCAGCTCGTAGGACTTCGCCGTGTTAAAAATACCAGTTCCTTACATGGAAAATGGATGAAGATGAACCAGTTGGTGTAAAAATGTATACTAGTTGAATTCTAGTTGACAACTAGTATTTTCCTCTGCAGGGTACTAACATTGAGACTAGCAGGAAATGTCGACAGACGTGTGCAGGTAATGGATGGCATACGAATCTGGAACCTAGGGGAACGTAAAGATCTGCAAATAAGAGTCGTAATTAGCAGCTAATAGTGATAATCACATTCATGACTTGGCTCCCACGTCACTGTTGACAGTCATAACTTCGAGGTCGTAGCTAATTTCGTCTATCTAAGGACCAGCATCAAAGCCAATAATAATGTTTGCTTTGAAATCGAACGCAGAATCACTCTTGTCAGCAGGTGTTAATTTAGACTGAGCAGGCAAATGAAAAGTCAAGTCTTCTCCCAACGATAAACTCTACAAGTCACTCATCGTTTCCGTCGTGATATATGGTCCGGAAGCATGGACGATGCCAACATCTAATGAGTCGGCTTTGGGAGCCTTCGAAAGAAAGGTTTGCGAACAAGTTATGGTCCATTGCGCATTGGCAGCGGCGAATAGTGTAGATGATGTTGCAGCACCAGCTGGTGGAAGCAGATAAGGAAGGATTTTCTAGGAAGTGGATTTGGGACCGTTCTGCATATTCGATAAAAATCGTATTTATGGCTCGATTTTCCAGCTATTTGAAGTTTTCTCTAATAATTAATACAAAATCTTATATATTACAAGAATTCAAAAACTTCAATGTAGTAATTGATACATTATTATAAAATAAATAATGTGAAAATCCAATAAAAAAATCTTTCCGGTAGGAAATTCTAGTATTATATATATGGAAATTAAAACTGGATGCAGCTTCCTCTTTTACTTTTGGTCAGAGTTTTGTTTAAAATCTTCAGACTTCTCGAAAATATTACATGAAAATATTTTAGCATTTAAAATGAGGCGCACTACTGATACCCTTTACAGTAAAAAGGTTAGGTTATTTATATTGATGTAGAATAAACACACTTAAATCGATATATATATATATATATATATATGTATATATACATATGTGTGTGTATGTATGTATATCATATACATAAATACAAATAAAAAAAGCCGATCTGTAATCACGTAAAAGTCGAAAAGTATGAGTTGGTAAATCGAATAAAATTTTGAATCATAGAAATAATTCTACTATCGCCAAGTTCCGACGGCAGTCATACGAGTACATTTTATCAATTCACTACAATTTTTATTGCACTTTTGCACAATCTGCTTCAAACTCAAACAAAAGTATGCACATTAGCACTTAGTACATAATACTTAAATAAAAATACTTAGAATTCTAGTCACACTCACCTCTGCCACCAAAGTGGTATTTGATTTCAAATTTTCACAGCTTGGATTTACACTGGAATCACAAACATAACATTTTATTGCCGCAACTTTAGATTTGGTATTCGCAAGAGTGTGGCATATGATGATTGAGGAGCACAATGAAGAGAGAGAAGGGTAATAAATTAATGCATTGCAATTAGTTTAATTCAATAGATTTTTTTTTTCTGTTAAAGTCTCCTTTTAATATACTTATTTAATTTTTCAACACACACTCGTGAAATAGTTATAAATTAAAACTTCCAAAGCTCATACACAAGAGGCTTTGGTTTTTGGTACACAATTTAAAAATTTGTTCTTTTTTTATTTTTTTTTATTTTATTAAATTTTAAAATTTTTTTTCATATTATTTTAATTAATATAGTTTTTTTATATTTTGTTTTATGTTTATTGTTTGTTTTGTTTAGTTTTATATTATATTAAATAATTTTATTTTTATTGTTTTATCTTATTTCTGTTTTTTTTATTTCGACTTATTACTTTTTATTTCTTCGTTTACTGCTTTTCAATTCATTTTTAGTTTATTTTTCTTTACTTGGTTTATTGTTTCTTGGTAATTATATTTTATCTCATTTTGTTTGGGTTTTATTTTGTTTTGATGAATTATTTTTTATTTTATTGTATTTTGTTTTGATTTATTTGAATTTTTACTTTATTATATTTAGTATTATTTTATATTGTTTTACTTAATTGTATTTTATTTAATTTTATTTTATTTCATTTTATTTTATTTTATTTTATTTTATTTTATTTTATTTTATTTTATTTTATTTTATTTTATTTTATTTTATTTAATTTTATTTTATTTCACTTTATTTCATTTAGTTTGATATAATTTTATTTTGATCATTTAATTGTATTTTATTTAATTTTATTTTATTTAATGTTATTTTATTTGATTTCATTTTACTTTATTTTGTATATTTTTTATTATTATTAGTATTATTTTTTTTCTCTAATTTTTTTATTTTATTTTATTCTTTTTCATTTAATTTTATTTTATTTCACTTTATTTTATTTGATTTCATTTTACTTTATTCGATTGATTTTTTGTTTTATATATTTTATTTATTTAAATTAAATTTTTAATTGATTATATTTTATATTATTTCATTTTTTTAATTTGTTTTATTCAATGTTATTTTGATTTTATTTTTATTCTTTTATTTTAGCTAATTTATAATTTATAGATATCATTTTGTTTTATTTTAATATTTTTTAATTTGTTTCTTTTTTATTTTATTTTTTTTCTCTTCTGTTTTACTTTTGTTGTTAATTTATGTTTTGTCGTTATATTTAATTAAATTATATTTTAATTTATTTTATTTTAATTAGTTTTATTTTATTTTATTTAATTTTTTTTTTTTAATTTATTTATATTATTTTACTTTGTTTCACATTTTTAAATATTTTCCTTTTTGTAGCTTTTTATTTTAATTTTAGATAATTTTACTTTTTTCCAGCGCTTTCTCTAATTTTATTTAAGGTTATTTTCATTTAATATTTTTATCTTAAAATTATTATATTGTTTGTTAAGTTTATTTTGAATTCAATGAATTTGATCATTTTTTTAATTCATTTTAATTGATTTTGTATTTTTAGTTCTATTTTTTTTGATCTCTTATTATTTATTTTTTTATTGAATTATTTTTGTTTTGCTTTATATTTTATTTTTTATATATTTATTTTTTATTTTTATTTTTATTTATTTTATATTATTTTGTTGTATTTAATTTAATTTACTTCAGTTTGTCTTAAATTATGCTATATTATTATTTATTATTATTAATGTTGTTTTTGTTATTATAATATTTATTTTATATTATTTTGTTGTATTTTATTTTCACTCATTTTCACTTATATTATATATATCACACATTTCAAACTGACACTAACCGTTATGAATGCAGTGCAGCAACAATAAAACGACCGGCAAGATTAGCAAATGTAGCACACTTGTAGGCGCTTTTTGGTAGCAACACATTGCTATTTTGCGTTTCTTTCTATTTTCTGTTAAGCACGATAACACTTAAACTAGTTTTATAGAATATTTTCTTCAATTTCTGCTAGTTGATTGGCATTAACTAACACTTTCATAAAAAATCTCACTACTCTCACTATAAACAACCTGCACCCAAAAGTATGCTCCTTTTTTTTTTTTGGTTAAATTGGTGTAATTTGCAACGCGACCCACTAAGCTGCTCAGCGCTAAGTCGCTTCACTTCATAACGCTACACGCTGGTTGTCGTCCGCGTTTATAATCCTTTTCGTGTCACAGCGTTTTGCAAACTGAACTCAACAAATGTGAAGCATCAGCTGAAAGCGAACTCGAAAGGGCAGCGCGACTTAATCATCGTCTACTACAAACCGAAGTGGCGTAGGCGAGTGCACGAGTCCTGTCGGTAGCGTTGCGTTCGTTCGTTAGGAAATTTGCAAAAGCAGCAACTAAGTTGCAAAGGAAAAATATGAAAGAACTTTAAGAATCGCTTTTGTTTTTGCATTTACCATTACCAATAAGGAATTTTTTGTGGTAGTTTCACTGAAGAATTTCGCTTTGGCTAAGAAGAGACGACAGGATGGCGGCGGTGGGGCTGAAAAGGGGACGAACAAGCCGTTAAAAGTTTATGTGGGAGATTTTAAATTTGCCACAAAAGTAAAGGAGTCACAATAGGCGGTGGCAGTAACAGCAGACGAAGGCGACTGAGAAGCCAACTTGGAGCGTATGGCGACTGCGCTGCCGACTGAACGGATGTTGAATGAAAATAAAGACGACAGCGATGAATTTATGTCGTTTATGGTGACGTCGAAGTTGATAAGTGGCGTTTTACGCTTTTTGTTGCGAGCGATGGTAGTGCGGCGCTGCGGCGAGTGAAAGTTATGACGGAAAGTGACGCGGAGTGATTTTAAACATATCAACGGCTACTCGTCACGGCTCGATAACTGCTGGTGAGTGAGTGTCTATGTGTTTTTGAAACTGCGGAGGCCAAGGAAGTTGCAAAATTGTTTCGAATTAGAAAAGTTAGCAAAGTTAAGTGTATAAAAGTTAACGGCGCATTTTTGCATTGTTTAACCGTTTTGTGTTGGCCGTGGTTGCCTGTTCTGTGCTGTAAGCGGCACGTATGGTGATGGCGAAGTGTTTGTTGGTGGTGACGCATTCGTGATGTTTGCAGACGACTCAATGCGAAGTGACCAAAAATGGGCATCAAAATATGGACAACTTTCGTTTGTTGCTTTTATATTTTTTTGGTTTCCTAAAAGTCCTTTCAAAAACATTTTATTTAATTTTTTTTGCGCCAATTAAATTGAGATTATCATGTACTGCCTACTCTGTGCTTGGGTGCAAAGAGAATTCTTTATTATCAGAAATTTCTACGTTATAAGACAAACTCAACGCGGAGCCCACGACGAAGCCGGGCTCGGTTGGATACTATCGAAGGAGTAACTAAAGTTGGAAATTATCACGAGCTCTCTCTGGCTGCTCTCCCGTCCATGGGTTTTCGGTTCATTCCTACTTTATCTGGCGTTCGCATTAGATATGTAAGTGCTTTGCAGTAGTTACTTCTATGCGGATTGCCATGGGCTCCAATCCTACATATATTAAACTAAATTAATATATCTAATTGCGGTCGCTTCTTGGCTAGGAATGTCAATTCAACTCAGTTTATTCCCGACTGGAAATCTAAAGCTCCACATAAAATGCTACCAGGCCATCTAAAAAATACAGATTCCTCCATTGCTGGGACTTCGGTTCGATTTTCTGTCTGATTTGTTAAGTTCTTTCGATTTAAAATAGACTCTACAAACGAACCAACTGCTTGATTGTTTGAAATTGACATGGGATTATCCGGTATTAGTGGCTCCATAAGTCTATTGCAAAGGAAGATCAGTGAAGTTTTAGATATTAGTACCTTGAAACTACAAAAAAAAAATTGAGATTTAGACAATATTGTTCCTGTCCAGCTACAATGGTATCTCGGGCAGCTCCAGCTGACACATTAGCAAAATTGTGAATTTTTCATATTCCCAAATATGGAAAGGTATCTGAAAGCAAACCTGAAGAATTCAGAGCAACAAAACTGACGTCATGACTGCTTCAAGTGGTAAAACGAATCTGATAAACGTAACAGCCTCAGAATAATTATGTTAGATCCGCGAGCCCCTATGTTTTATAGGTTTCAGTAAGCATACTCGATAGTTTTTATAAAAATGGGATAAAACTTGATAAAAGAGGTGGTGGTGGAATCTATTAAAAGGTGTTTAGTATTAGCAAGTAACTACCGGTTTATTTAAGCGGTAAAGTCGGCCATATAAGAGGCTGTTATTAAGCTGAGTTTATTGGTGCTCTCAGCAAATTTGGCCTACTGCAAGGTCTCTGGAAACTGTAAAGATAAAGTTAAGTGAGAGAAAAGTTTGCATGAAATGCCACAAAGAATCTTCATTTCACCACGTCACCTAATCTCGGCAAAGGGAAGGAAATATTTATGAGGGTCTTCATACGGGACATCTTCAAGCGACTTCTGAATGCAATATCGCTAACTCCACATGTTGGTTTAACTAGGGCGTGTGGGTTAGTGAAGGTTGTTAGACTTGGCACAGGTTTGATTAATCTAAGTCGCCGAGGTCACTAATAGGAGATCCAGGAAACGAGCTGTTTCGACGGGGTTGGACTAAAAGGAGAGGGGGTTCAGATGAGTCGGTTTGAGAGGGCATATGAAGAGGTTCAGATGAGTTGGTTTGAGAGGGCATGTGAAGAGGTGGTTATTGTCGTGCGGAGACTCTCCATATGCAGGGCATACGTTGGGTATGCTGGGGTCTAGCCTGGACAAGAAGGAGTTTAACCTGCTACAGTACGGTCTTTTTGACAGCTGTTACTTTAATTATACGCAGTTTGGTTTGCACTTTCACAAATCGACTCAAGGCGCACTACGTCCAATATTTAGTCGACACCACAACTAGTAGTTGGAGCAACCATGGATTTGTTTTGAACCTCGTTTACTCTAGTGGATAATACGCATCCTCAAAGTTTGGCGTGCAGTGCGAAGACATTTATGCTGTTGTGAACCAGAATATCGTAGAAGAGCCGAAAGGGTTCATCAGCCATTGCGCGCATCAATTGGAGCTATGCACATCCACTTAATGGAAGATTTTGCAAAAGGGTCTTGGTCTACGGCAGCAATTGAAGTCTAATGACAATCATGCACGACACGTATTCGGCGAACGGACCCAAAACGAGATGGCTACCGATTCCGATTTTCACAACAAAATTTTGTTCAGCGATGATGCTCAAGTTTGATTCAATTGGGTACGTTAGTTTAAAAAATTAGAGCATTTGGAGTAATGACAATTCACAAGTCATTGCTGAGCCGCCGTTACATTTTCAAAAAATCACTGAGCAGTGTGCTGCACCGGCGGAAGGAACCATTCGTCCATATTTCTTCAAAAAAACAAAATGAAGACAGACAGTCAACGGTGAGCGCTATAGAGCTTTGATTTATGACTTTCCCTTACCTAAGGGATGTTGATGTGGGCGACCTTTGTTTCCACCAAGATGGCGCTGCATTCCATACAGTCAACAAAACAATCAATTCATTAAAGGAGAATTTTGATGAGTGCATTATCTCTCAAGATCGAGCGATTTGATACTGCAGGATTTTTTTGTGGGGTTAAGGGAGGTCGGTTTTCAATGCAGATAAGCCCGAGCCGTTTCAAGCCTTGGAAGATAATATTCGGCGCGTTTTTCATAACATAAGGTCCAAAAAAGTTATCGACTCTCGGCTGTAAGACACGTATATTCGAAGCAGACGCTCCGCTTATTTGCCCCAAATCATTTCTGGAAGTTTAAATTTTGGAAAACTTCGTTTTTTGCTGTTTTAGTACCAATAGAAATGTGTGCCAAGTACGCACCTCTACAAGGATGTACAGTTCTGTCTTGAAAATTGAAGATAACAAAACACAAAAAATAAAATGCAACAACAACAACGTATTAATTTTAAAGTCGCGGTCATCTCCCAGGGCGTTATCGCTTACTTACTAATTTGACAAGTGGCACAGCCTTGACTAACTAACCGTCAACTCACTTCACGTACACGAACACATACACTTGCACATACATAGATAGATAAGTATGTGTGTACACACGCACATTCGCATGCGGCGGTTTGTCAGTTGACATGAGTTTTCATTAGCTAAAACACCCGCTGGCATTCATTGCCTTGACTTGCCAAGAAACAATACGCACACTCACACATACATATGTACATATCTCTGGTATATTCGTTTTGTTTGTGGAAAAAAAAATATGTACAGTTATAATTTCGCCTTTACATTTGTTGACTAGCTGCAAGGCAAAACGCATTTGATTGACCCATTGAAATGTTAAACGTTTCGGAAACAGACATTGGCCTACCCGGAGCAGCGCACCACCCCTCCTCGTGGAGCAGTTGGGTAATTTAAATGCAAAAAGCTGTCAGTTGTGCACAGAGACCGGAGTAAAAAGTAAAGAAAATAGAATAGTATAAAATTAGCAACAGAAAAAAGGAAAGCACTGCGAGGGTGTGTGCAATGCCTTCAAGGATAATAGGCGCTTGGTAGTCTATCCATAGATATATTTTATGTAGAGAAGTATTTAGAAACGTACACGGGCATGTGAGGTTTGTTTGAAAAGTGAGGGGACTTTTATAAATCTTAGGAAATACCAAGTACAGCCAGATCCTTCTCCACCTGGTCTTTCTAACGGAGTGTAGATCTTTCTTTTCTTCTTTTGCATACGGACCAGATGACCGAGCCAGTATCGCTGAACTATGTCAATGTATCACCGTAAAACTCATCGTTCCAACGACTCCAGTATGCGCCGTTCCCAACTCGTAGAGGACCATAATTCTTGGGCAAAACCTTTAGCTCGAAAACTCCTCACGTAGTCATTGCCATTGTCCATGCCCCCTTATCATGTAGCGAGGTGGGAATGATGTGTAACTTGTAGAGTTTTTGTCATTGCTCGACGAAATGGACTTTTCACTTCAACTGACTACTCAGTCTCAAGTAGCACCCATTGACAAGAGGGATTCTGCGTTGGATTTCAAGGATTACATTGTTGTTGGTGTAAGTGTTCGTTCCAAAGATAGGCGAAGTTATCTGAAACTTGATAAAAGTTTTTCCCGATCCCGACGGAGCTCTTGGATGTGCTTATTGTCAGCTTACACAACCGTACAAGTTTCGCACTTCCCTTAAAATCGATCTTTTCTCTTATCACCGGTCTTTTTCAACATTCAACATATGAAGTTTCTGGTCCATTGTAGATTTTCCAGGTCTAAGGCTTTATGGCGGGAGGCATCTTTTACCTACGGTAGTTGGTGCAGGTTGTGGGCTCCTCCTTTTTGTAGATTGGGCAGAGAACATTTAGGTTACAGTCAACGAGCATACTTTCATCCGACCATACTTTACAAGTGTTCAACGGTTTTTTGTTGTCAAAAAACTGGCTCAAAGTAGCTGATTTAATCTTTGTATTGAATATGGAATCAAACTGGTGCCAGACACTCTTGCTAAGCTCCGGGCACTCAAAAAACCGATTGAAATATTGAAAAAGTGAAGAAATTTGTTAGAGAAAATCTTCGAATCAACAGAAAAATATTTTTTTGACGTCAAAGTATCTTTGGATCCTTTTCATGATATATCTTTGGAAATTCGGATTACAAAACGTGTGGGAGTTCCCAGTTTAACGCCCCAACATTGTTGTGTGAAGTAAGAAATAACATAGTTCTGCAACAACAATATTATCTGGAAGTTTCCAATTGATTTCTATGTAATTTTAAGTGTTCCAAAGACTGTTCGCCCCATTCATAATGAGAGCGAAATACAACGGCAAAGGTTTCCGCCACTTGGGAAGTGATTGCATGTTCCGATGACCCGAATGACAAATCAAGTTTCGAAATTACTTTTGTCAGTCGTCTCTTTCTTCTGCTTTAGATATCGTTACTTTCTGAATCGCCCAAGATGAGAGGATGAGCTAATTTGTTGTGGCATTTTTGAAGATCGGAGGAACACATATAAAATCTTTTACGCTCCCAACACTGTGGCTTTTTTTTTGTTTGTCTTCTTCAAGAACAAGTCTTAAGGCTGTTCGTCCACAAAATAACGACTTAGTTGCTTCCATACCTGTCCGTCACGCCATACACCACAAGGGAACCTACAAAAAGTTGAATTGGTTATTTGTAAGTTCAAGTATAAAAGCCACGATTGGCTCTACTATGGGATAGTAGAGGCCAAATAAGTCTTTCAAACAAAATGTGTTGATCGCCAGGAGAGAGCTTAGCGCTGGCAAATAGAATGTCTTGCAAGCAGCTTTGGTGCTTCCTTATAAAGTTTTCTAGCACTGCTTTAATTGGAGCTGAAATTAATGAAGCCGAATAAATAACTTTGGGCCTCTAATACGTTCGTCTCGGGAAGGGAAGGCGTTTTGTGTCGATTGAGGCGTAGAAATACCGAGTTGTCGAAAAAGATCAGAGACGAACCGGGATGTACACATCAGACTTTTCTCAAAAAATATTGTCGCGTAGACAAGCGACTTTACATAGTCCCACAGACCCACGACTCATGATAACGCGCTCAACAAAAGCTTCCACTTGACATGTAGAGGCGTCTAGTTGGGACCAAATATGCCATACATCAAAATCCTCTAATTTGGGCTCAAAAAGATCACTAATCATGGCTATATAACTTTACTCATTGACTCGGCTATTGGTTTAATTTTTGAAGAAAAATGCATCAATGTTCACACCAAATTCGACAACTGGGGTTTTTAACGCACCTATTCTATCAACAGTCAGTTTCATCGCTGAACAAAACTTTCTTGAGAAAATCGGGATCGGAGGCCATCACATTTTGTGCCCATTTGTCGAACGCGCGCTGAGCTTGATGGACATTCGGCTTCAGTTCTGGCACGAGTTGGATTTAGTAAGCCCTCACAGCTCCAATTGTTGCGCGAGATAGCGGATGGGCTCATTCGGGTCTTCTTCGATACTCTGTACCACAACAACAATAGCGTCCTCGGTGCGTAATGTAAGGCAGTGCTGAAGATGCGCGCTATCCACTACAGTAAACGTAGTGCGAAACCGATCTATGGTTGCTCGATTTGCCGACTCTGGTGGGCGGTTATGTCAAATAAATATTTGACACAGCACGCGATTCGTCAAGTGAACCAAACCATTATTTTGGTACAAAATTAACATGATTTCAAACGTTGTCCCGGAGGGAACTTTCTCATTATAAAATGGCAAATTAAATTGAGCATAAATCGTGTAGCAGAAATCAAAATTATCAAATCTGAATATCACTTCCTCATTTAAAATATCAATTCCGAAAAAAACACCCTTTATATCTGAAGGAGACTACTTTGAAAGCGACCAGAAACGGAAATTAATGAAGAAATCAATTATTTTTGGAGAAAAATTTTAATTCACCTTACTTTTAGAGCACACCTCGTATATACAAAAATATACGTACATATATGCTTGTTAAACTAAACCGTTTTGACGATTCAAAGCTACTTTTCTGTCATTGAAAAGCGAGCGTATAAATATTTCAATATTCGTTTGGGATCCTAGAAAGGATTTAACGCTGACATTGCCGCAACTCAAGTCTGCCGCTGACAGGTATCACTCGTGAACGTCGTTGCTGGTCGTAACTATTGAGGTCAATTTAAATGTATTGCAATGGAATTTTATGTCTAGTTGCAATGAAAAACTGCCATCTCTTGCAATATTCAGAGCGCACCAATGGAACTAAAAAAATATATATAAAAAATACATAAATACACTTGAAAAGAGTTAAATTGAAAAATAAATCGACCAAATTGACGAGGTAAAATAATTGCCAATAAAACTAAGGTAATACAAAGTTGAAAGCGAAAGTTAAAACTGAAAAAAAACAAAAACCTCTATAAAAAAAATAAAAATAAATTAGAATTAAAAATAAAATAAAATTAAAAAAAAAAAATAAAATAAATAAAACTCACAGGTATTGACAGCAATCAAATCAAATGACACTGTAGAGTTGCACATAAAATTGAAAATTTACCGTTAAAAATGTAGCACACTTCAAATGCAGCCATAAAAGTCAAGTGGTTGCCTGACCACTTGAACAACGCAATTGGAATCGTTTCAGCTTCAGTTTCGCCTCTTTTTGCACGATTCTCACCTTACGACCGCTGCTCACCGCTTGCCATTGACTCAAATTGCTGGGTAGTAGTGGTACTTTGGCACTATGTAATAATAATAGAGCTTTCACCGCTTACGAGAGTGAATGAAAGTAAAAGGACTCAATATCGAACGTGTCTATGGTAAGTCATTGTGAGTCCTTATAAATTGTATGGAAAAGTGTATAAAAATTCATTGCAGAGATTTTTATTGTTGTGGGGTAAACGTAAAATTTTATTTTTATCTTAGTAATTCTCATAATTGCCGGCGCTGACTTTAAATTGAGTAGCCCTCTGTCGGACTTAAGGCGGGCGCTTATGCTGTCCTACTGCTCTAAATTGTTTAAGACATCAAGCACTCGCTTGTTTCAGTGTGGGCGCTTCCAAGTGAAGTGAGAAATACTTGAAGAAGATCTGTTTCTGTAAATTCTTTCAACCAGAGTTATCTGTCTAATGTAGTTGTGATTTTACGAAAGTTTAGATTCCACGCCAATTGGAGTATCGAGCCTAGGCTATGAACGTTGTTATAAACTTGGAAGTTCTCGCGTTGAAAATGCGTTTTCTTTTCCATGGTTATGAAAGGGCTTTTTAAGCTACAAATATGTAATTTCTGCCTTTTGATATATTCTTCGAGATGGAAATGAGCTTCATCGGCAAAGATAATTTTGCGGCAAAAATTGTAATCATCTATGAAGCGATCTTCCTGTAAGTTCTCAAGTGGTTGGTGGTCAGCGGTGTACTTAGGTCTCCGAACGTGCTCATTTTGGTACCACTAAGGATATTTAGAGCCCCTCTAATCGGCTAGTCAAACCAATGTGTGACTTAGCAAATCTGAGCGGCTGACGAATCTTTGTGCTCGCTAGAGATAGTCTCTAGAGATAGACTCCGCGGGAGGGTTTAATTTAATGATCTAAGGTGGTGTACATTTTAAAGTAAGAGCGTTAAAGTGGCAGATTCATTCTCCTAGCAGAAGTCATTTGACGTTACGAAGAATTACCCTATGTGCCTGCTCAATTAAAACTGTATAGATAATTGTGGATAATTCTTTCAGCTGGTTGAACCTTCGTGACTTTTTTTCTCATTTCGGCCATTTAGCCATGATCTGATTGCAATATATATGGATCCTTCATCTTGATGTGGACAATGATTTGTTATACTGAAGTATTGTAGCAGACGAAGTCTTACCCTCTCGAACGAAATTGGGAGAACTGCTGAAGTAACAATTTAAGTGTTCTTGTGTTCTTCGCCATTATTAAGAAATATGTACGTATGTATGCATGTATAAAATTTACCGATAGTACTCGTAAAGTCCGGCAGGTTCCGCTAAAGCCATTACAACCAAGGCGACAATAATGTGCCAGTCATTTCTTATTTTCGTCATTCGGCGTCACTTAGAGACACCGAGAGAGCCCAAGTATTGTTTTCCATATAAGCCTAGTTAACGTGGCCATTGCCCCTTAATTCTCTGAACTAAGTCAGCGTCGTGGTATATCTCGTACAACTCATTGTTCCAGCGCCAACGGTATTCGCTATTCAAAAAGCTCAATAAATACCCCGCAAAACCCTTTTTTCGAAAACTATCCGCGCCGACTCATCCGTTATTGTCATTGTCCAGGCCTCTGCCCCATATAAAAGAATAGCAATCATGAGCGACTTGCAAAGATTTGTCTTTATACGTCGAGGGAAGACTTTACTTTTTAATTACCTCAGTCCAAAAGTACCACCGGTTGGAAGGAGGGATTCTTAGTTGGATTTCCACGTTGGCATTGTTGTTGGCGTTAAAGCTAGTTCTACGACTTCAAAGTTATGTTTTCCTGCAGTGATGTGGGTGTCTTGATGTTAATACACGGTGGCAAGAAATTTTTCATTCTAGTGTCGGTCACTACCAAACCAATTCGCTTTGCAGTAATTAGTGGATCCAAGTGGACATTTTTGGTCTCTCAATAAGTACGACACCAGCAGTGCTCCAATAATACGTGCTCTAGTAAGGGTTTGGGCTCTCTTCAAGCAACCAAGCCAGCTTTCAAAAAATGAATTTCAATAAACTTCAGCAGATTCGATATTTATTGAAAAATTGTGTCTGAGTTGAGAAAAGTCACGCAGTCAACGTCACAATAAACACATTTCTGACAGTAAATGAGACACACCGTCGATGTTGTCTAAAACTTAATATACACAACCAACGGTCAAGATTACTATAACTACTCTTCTAGCGATAAAAGAAGGTCGACGCTTTCGTCTCTATATGAAATACACATGGCTTTAGAGAACCTCCATATTTCTCATACTTTTTTATTCCGAAATCTATGAGAGGGAACTTGAAACTAACGTCCTCTGTTGTTTAAGTCCCATTTCCGAAGCATTCACAGACTGTATAAGTCAACCGTCTCATTTAAACCAGTCACAGTTGGCGGCCGCGGCAGCCGAGTGGTTAGCATTGCGTACTGCCATTCGGAAGGCTCGGGTTCAAATTCTGGTATTTATAATTGCGGTCGCCACTCCGCAGGGAATGTCAGCCCCTCCGAGGGCATTTCTGACATGGAATAAATGCTCCCCATACAAGAACCATCAGCCGTTCGTAGGCGGTTTAGTATAAACTGTAGGTCCCTCCACTTGGTGGAAAAACATCAAGACGCAAAGCCATAAATTAGAGGAGGAGCTCGTCCGTAAATCGCTTAAACGGTTAGAAAGCGCCAATTATATATATGTATGTATATAGTTGCAGTTACCGTGAATATCTTTTTGCTATTTTCTGTTTCCATATGCCATATTTTTCTTTATTCTTTACCTTATTTATCTACCTTCTCGACGAAAATTGGCAATGGCGCCAACAACTTTGCTTTACATCCGTTTCCGTCTTAACTTCCTCCATAACACTGAATTTCCTCTTTTTCCTCATTTTCTCTTCCCCTGCAAACATTCACCGTTGTGCAAATGACAAGTGATATTGACAAATTACACTCCATCACCGCTGCAACTGAGACGAGGTTTTACCACTTTTGCTTGCATTTGTCTCTTCTTCTACTTCTCCTTCGTAGCGTCACTCACGTGTTGCTATTAGGGGGAAAAAATTACAATGCTAACGGGTTTTCTCTTTACAACAAAAGCTGTTTCAGTCGTTTCAGTTTCGTTTAAAACCGATTACTCATCACCACTCAACTCAAACAAAGTTCAAAATTATTTCTCAAACTCATCCGCATTGTAGACTTAACTGTCAGCTGTATGTACATACTCGTATGTATGTATGTATGCAAGAGGGGTATGAGTAAATTTTATATTTCTGAGCATTAGCTCAACTCGTGGGTGGATCGCTCTGTGTGCTTGAAAATATTCTTTTTTGTTGTGGTTTTACAAAAGTTCTTGCAAAAAAAGTACCGTTGAAATGGAAAATTTATAAAAATCTTCTTCATTCTTTTGTTGTTTTTGGAAATTTTATTGCGTGTCCACTGCGGCAGACACGACCACATACAGCATCTTGTTCTTAATCTTCAAGTACAAATATTCGTACATACTTATGTACATATGTACATGTGTTTGCTTAAACTGTGCTCCACTCATGTCTCTGATGACGAGTACTGAGTCACACTGCACTTTTGAAGATTAACTGCACTTTGTGGTTTTTTCATGTTGTTGTTGTATCGATGTTTGCTAAAGGAAGTTGAATTGAAGTAAATATACATTTTAAGAAGATACATACATTATTAGCCGAGTGGCTTTCATTATGTACTACAATTTCTCCGAAGGCCGGGAAGCGTGTCCTGGTCTGACCCATATCAAAAAATTATAGAAAAGTAATTTAAATAAAAAATTAAGCTTCTGACAGGAATATTTAAAACTCCTTATAAAAATCCATCGGTCGCTCGCAGACGGATTTGAATAAGGGGCATCGCTAAATATGCTAGGTTTTTCCTTATTACAGGCAGCTAATGGGGAATAGCATAGACGCCGACGTCTAAAGGCGTCTGAGTTGGCTAAGGCTAGTCTCTCTTTGTACGGTTCCCAAACGCTTTACCGGCTGCTCTTGGCTCGCTTTGAGTACAAACGGACCACTGATTCCGCTGGTCCAGATAGCGCATCAAATAGTCTCTCGCTAAAGATGCATCGCCTTTTCCATGGTAACGTAAGGGTTTCTTAAGCCCCAAATATGGTAATGTCGTCTGCTAGCGTATCCACGGTGGAAATGAGCTTCATCGTAAAATATTATTCTTCAGCAAAAAAGCTCATCTTCTGTCAAGCGACCTTCATCGTATAGCGAAACTGTATCTGAATGTCATTCGGTTGCAGTTCTTGGACTGTTTGGACTTTGTAAGCCTTTACAACGAGGTCTTTATGGAAAATACTGTGCAAAGAAGTTAAGTGAACAATATGTAAGTGTCTCGATATTTTCCAGTTCAATTCACACAAACTTCAAGCAAATCTGCCGATTTGGTCTAAAATCTTTCTGGGGTTGGTTTTACACGTGGTTTGATCACGGAACCCTGATCAACCACACTTAAGCCTACTGGCCCGTTGTGATACCTATATCGGTCCTGTTAATGAGATTACTTTCATCTTTCCAAATGTTGTTGGTGTCGTTGCTGTTGTTATAACTGCAAAAATATTCCCCAGATTTCTTTTGGGGGAATGTAGCGGAAGTGATAATCCTAAGCTGGATAAAAATCCGGATCATTCCAGTATAAATATCCGAAGGGTCTCGGAAACTTTTGGATTTTAGTCACCTCTTACGGTAAGGTACGACTTACCGCGGATAATTCTTGAACCTCTACCTCGTAAGGCCACATTCCAAATGCTCAAAGCACTTGTTGAATTTTATGAAATTCAGGGGATCAATGATGTTTTTCCGATTCCTCGTTTTCTATGTTGAGATGCAGCCCATCTTTCTACCACGAGTCTACATAAAACAGTGACCGGTTATTATGTCGGGGAAGGTCATCTTTTCATTCCGAGAAGGATGGTCAAGAACGCGACTGTGGATAGCCTCTTTGAAAAGTCTCTTTCTACGGTGTACTCGGATGCTACTTCCTATATCTTTAGAGAGCCTTATTGCAATCAATCTTTACCGACGAATGCATATAATTGGAGCTTCAAGTTTGCTTTAATGTTTTCGTAGCAAATGGAAGAAGTTACAGTTTATTCTTTGCCGGTTCCGAGCAACTGACCGATCTATATGAGGAGCTTTTATTTCAAGTAAGACTCACACACACTCGCTGAGCTTGATATTCCTTACCGAGGGGCGACAGGAATCAGATAAATAAATTTTCTACAATTTAAGATGTTGGTTTATGAAGGATTCGAATCCGTAATCCTCCACACAGAACCGAACAGGTGGATCTCCCGCAAGGAACATATCTTGGCCTAAACTATAAGGGGTTCCAATTCGGCAACCACTTCTGCTTACCTGTTACCTACATCATTGACGAACGAGACATCGCCTGACACACACTTGAATGAAAATGCCAAAATGAGAGAAATGTCATTGTCCCACTTTGACATATGTTTGCGAAGCCATACAAGTAAGAGGGGATTATTATGAAAAAAAAAATTAATAGCTCTAAGTAAACGAATATGCCTAAAAAGGGTACAAGAGTGAAGCATATGTCGAGGGTTGGCCTATTCAAAATTGGATTACCTTAAACGAACTAGACGATTTCCCAAAAGAGCTTGTGTGAACTTCTCTCTTCGAAGCTCTTTCTCTTTAGCTGGAAAGTTTCAGTGCGTAGCTAAAAATCGTCGTCACTTCATATAGATCTTGTGGAGGAAATATTATGGGGCCGAGAAGTGTACAAAAAATTTTAGAACACTAATTTTTCGGATCTCGCTGGTTATACAGCCTCAACCAAGCTAATAAGAATTTTTTTGTTCACTTTGGACCGTAAAATAATGACCTGAAAATTCTCCTCTTCTTCTTCTTTGGCTGAAACATCGCTAACATGGTTTTAGCAGAATAGTTTCTCGTTTTCGCTTTTTGAAGGCAATTAGAAATTCCAAGTGAAACCAGATGATTCTGATCTTTACAACAACCTGGAAGTCTTTCTCTTTCATCACTTCCTTCACAGGGTACAAAGTACTAGAAATCTTCGGCAAAACCCTTCTCTCGAAAATAGCACCAACTCTTCCTAACACGACCTCGTCCATGTTCAAGAGTCACTCTATCTGAAACTCGCCTAAATCCGTAGAAGTTTTGTGGGTATACCAGACTCAGACACAGAGGGGTAGAGTTAGCCCAATTTAATGTTGTGAAAAGCACCACGAAATCGATGAAATTGAATGAATATAGAAATATACTTCACGTTAGGCATTGAAATTCTTGAAAGTCTTGCAGAAGTTGCAGAGAAAGGCGAATGCGTGTTGCAATCTTTTTTCGGCACTACTCCTGGTTTGTTAGGCTTATGATCAGCTCCCTGCCTTTCTTGCTTTGGTTAATAAGTCGTCACGAGGGATAGGTTATGAGATTCTATTTTAGGGCAGCTCAGTACTTGAGCTTTCATCTCATTCATTTTTAAACCTAAATTATCAATTCGGAACAAGCCAAGCTCCACAAAACAATTTTTGGGAAAAGCATCAGAGAAGTACGCAGTCTTCTCTTTGAAGCTAAAAAACATAAAGAATATTTCTTGCAGCGCAAACGAAGCGGGACGTATTGTATATATGTATCATACATACACGTATGTTGTTTATTAATTTAGACAACAGCTTCATTATTTTATTAGAATACCAAGTGAATTTGGATGTGCCGGACGAAAAAAGTTATTTTTGCCAAATTATCCTTGTTTGATAATGAAAATATGAAAAAAATAAAGGTGAGAGAAACCACGAAAATTCAAATCTCTATAGAAGAGAAAATAATGAAATGAAGAAAAAAATTTAAGAAGCAGATGGCAAAGTTTAGAGTAGACAATGGCTGGTCCATTTGTTCGTAAAATTTGCTAACCTCGTTTATGGTGAAGGGGAAGAGCAAGGAAAATCAGGAGGAATACGAAAGCTTAATGAGCTTAACATGTAGTTTAGCGAA